GGGCCATACCCCTCTTCCCGGTTCTGTGTACCGTAGTCACGAAATGTTTGAGCTGCTCTGGCCTCACATTCAAGCTGATAATTCCACCCCAATTGAGGTTTGGCTTCTTGGGTTTCTCTCCTTTTTTGTTTTGATGAATACCCTTTTGGTTGCTCTCTGTTTGTTTGGTTTCTGGGAAAATGCAGGAAAAGCGTCGTTCTCATTCATCAAAAGAGTAAAGCATGAAAAGTAAAAGCAATAAAATGTTTCGACTTCAGATTTTCATTTTGGAGCTAAAGGACAAAAACTTTACTTATACAAGACTATTGCAGCTTAAATCTGTGATTTCAAAATTTTCCCTAAAGTTTTCCGATCAAATAAACAGTAGGATTGTAGGACAGTTGCTTAGTTCTCCCTGTTCTTCTCCTTTTCCTTGTGTTTCTCTAAGGAAACGCTTGTCCAGTATCTGAATTAAATGAACTTTCTAATATCTGAACGTGGAAGTTAGTTTTGGGTAGAAGAATTTTATTTGAATTTGGTCTGGGGCATCTTTATTTTGTAAGCAAAAGGAGTTGATAGTTTATGAAAACGGGAAATTTGCAGATAGTCAAACTTTGATGTGGACACGTTTGGATCCTAATTTTGCATTCAAGTACTACTGTAATGGCCATTATCACTTGCTCAGTTATTTTTCCACCGTGCTCTGCTCCTCATTTGTTGCTGAATTTAACGTGCGGTGAAATTATTGCTACAATGCTATTAACCAAGATGATATGTTGTTTATTGCTGTAGTTGTCTTCTGTGTGGAGATACAGAAGAAAGCTGAAAGAGCAGAAGCCATGCCCGCCTTCGACTGCTGGACTACAGTTAGGTATTTTCAAGACAGCACAATTTTGTATTAAGATGGCTGCTACAATTTTGACAAACTATTAAATTTATTTGTGGGAAATTGAAGGTTTGGTAGTTTTGGAATCAATGGTCGTGAATCTTTATCTGATAGTTTTTTCTTGGCACCTAATATATTCTCCATTGAATTTCAGAGTCCCCTGGCCCTAGTGTTTACTTGATTGTGGAGGTTAATGGTGGTCTTAACCAACAACGCTCTGCGGTACGCTACTTGTCCCATTATTCTTATATTACTTCAATTTTCATTTGTTTTCTTTGAAAACTAGAGCATTAAGGCTACCAGATATCTATGGTGTGGTTTTTGGTAACTTTACATATCTCCTATGTGCTGGAATATACAGTTTGTTCTTCCTACTAAATCATGCTTTTTCACAGATTTGCAATGCTGTGGCTCTTGCTGGACTCTTGAATGCAATTCTCGTTATTCCTAACTTTGAATTTCATAATGTTTGGAGGGATCCAAGGTAAAGGAACTATATTATTAAAGTTCTGACTCTTAAAACTTAAAATAATAGTTCTTTCAATGAAGAACATTGATTCAATACTGCATTATAGTTTAGCAAGCTTGCCTCATTAATCTTGATAAGTGTGTATAACCATGTCTAACCTACTTCAATGTGTCCGGAGCTAAAATGGGGTTGTCAGGTTCATAGGCAGTCGTCATCTAAATGACCAATAACATCTATTGAAAAGCCTGTCATGTGAGAGGAGAACTCAGAGCTTATAGACAGCATGAGGAGAATGATCTATTTATAATCTTGCAGTAAATAATCTTGTGAAATTTCCTTATTGTGCTTTCAATTCAAATATTAAAAAAAGTATCTTTTGTTTGGCAGCACTTTTGGAGATATATATGATGAAGATCATTTCATAGCCACCCTTGAAGGCCATGTTAAAGTGGTTAAAGAGCTCCCTGAGATGGTATTGGAGAGATATGATCACAGCATCGCTAACATACCAACCCTTCGTGTCCAAGCTTGGGCTCCTGTCCGTTATTACAAAGGAGAAGTTTATCCTATCCTGCAGAGGCAGGGGTAGGTACTGAACTGTTTTTTTTTTTCCGTTCTATATCAATTTTCCTTTGGAAGTTAATTCTGTTGTTTTTGCTTGCTTTTTGGTTTATGCAGGGTTATCCGCATAGCTCCATTTGCTAATAGATTAGCAATGAATGTCCCACCTTCTATTCAGCATTTAAGATGCCTTGCTAATTATGAAGCATTGAAGTTCTCTTCTCCCATATCAAATTTGGCAAGGAAACTAGTTGAACGAATGACTCAGAAGAGTTCAAGGACTGTTGGAAAGTATGTTTCGATCCACCTCCGTTTTGAGGAGGTAATGGAGCTTATTTTCTTTAAATTGTTAAAAGTTTTTGGTTCATCTTATGTTTAATGGTCAAGGAAATTAATCAAGTTATCAACTGTCTTTTTTCATCCTGCAGGACATGGTGGCATTCTCATGTTGTTTGTATGATGGGGGAGAGGCTGAAAATAGTGAAATGAATTCAATTCGACAAAAAGGATGGGGAGATAAGTTCAAACGAAAAGGCCGTGTAACTCTGCCTGGTCTCAATAGGATTGATGGAAAATGCCCACTAACCCCCTTGGAGGTAATCTACTTTGATAACTATTGTTGCTTTTTAGACCTTTAACTTTGAATGTAAGGTGTTCCGGATAAACCTTTGGAGGTAATCTACTTTGATAACTTTTGTTGCTTTTTAGACCTGTAAAACTTTGAATGTAAGGTATTCCCGATAAACCTTTTTTTTAAAGGAGAAAATGTGGTTATGTTAGATTCTAATTTTGTAGTCATAATTCCACATGTATCTCATACTTTCTTGCTCATAGCTGTCTACCGTGGAGAAATAATCTCTTTCCTGCATATTTGTTGTCAGTGTAGGTTGGAATGATGCTGCGGGGTATGGGGTTTGATAATAGCACTTCAATTTATTTAGCCTCAGGAAAAATCTACTGGGCAGAGAAACATTTAGCCCCTCTGCTAAAGATGTTTCCCTATCTGCATACAAAGGAGTCTCTGGCAACCCCAGATGAGCTTGCTCCTTTTAAGGTACATATCTTACTAGCTTTTATTAACTGTGTGCCCAAGAGAGTATTTTGGAATTGGTGAAACTATCACTTTGAAATCTACCACCCTAAAAGCTTATCTACTCTGGCTCTACATCTGTCTTTGAAAGTGTAAAGTTCAGCCTGGTTAAATTCATGATTTTAGTAATGGGTTGACAAATGCTATGAACTCTGTAGAAACCAAGCTGTACCGAAAATGAAATAGCCACTCTCATGTTGAACTTCCACATACTTGCTCTAAATCTGGTTATCTCTTTTGCTAGGGATATTCTTCGAGATTGGCAGCTTTGGATTATACAGTATGCTTGTCTAGTGAGGTTTTTGTAACAACACAGGGTGGGAACTTCCCACATTTCCTAATGGGTCATCGGAGATTCCTTAATGGTGGACATGCCAAGACTATTATACCTGACAAGCGCAAGCTTGTTGTTTTACTGCATGACATGGGTATCAGGTAATTTGTGTAAGTGTAGTTTCTGTAAAATAAAATACTTTTTGCTTGCAACACCCTGATTTTAATTTCAAGTTTATATATGCTAACAGTAGGCTTATGTGCAAACTCTGTATATATTTGGTTTTGCAGCTGGAAAGATTTCAAACTTGAGATGGAAGCAATGCTCACGGAAAGTGACCGCAAGGGAAAGATAATACCTAGAGTGAAAAAATTCACCAAAAAATCTTCTGTATACAGCTACCCTTTGCCAGATTGTGGGTGTCTCCAAAAACACAATGGCACTGGGTAGACCCATCTGCACATTCGTGATTTTCATGACAAGCTAGGACATGAAAAAACAAACCTAATGCTTCAAAAGTTTCTTCTACCTGTGCCATCATCAGACGCAATTTATATTGGGGCCTTGGCTCATTTATTCTGTGGATTTTGAAGCGGCTCATTGCTCTAAAGCCTGTTGGGAAAATGTAGATAGTCCTTACAGCAGGTTTTCCAATTTTGGTTGCAGAAGGATTCCCTTATTTCATGTTATTCTTTTTTCTCTTTTTCGTATGGAGATGTTAGGAGCAGCCTCTGGCAATGTTGGGGCATTGCTCAACATTTGTCGTATATAGATTGGATATTTGACATATAAGTTTTAGCCAGATATGACATTCCAGCTCTGGTCAGATGGGGTTTAGGGGTTGATACGCTGGTTTTGCAGTTTGATTGTTTTTTGTTAGCCTTTTAAGGCATTTCTGAATTCTGAGTACATAAACATAAATACTTTGTTCTTGCAAGTTTGCGCATCGTTTTGTATCTTGGAAACAACTTTGATATAGCAAGTACAGTGGCTGCATTGTTTTCTTTAATCAATGGAGAGGAGGATTCGATTTTGGGATCTCTTTCGATATTTACAAGGCCAAGAGTCAGCTTGATATGTGAAAAAATTTAGTATACCAATTGAGATAACTTTTTCGTTCAACATTAAAAAGAGAAATAACGCAAGATTAAGAAGTAGACGGTCATGTGCTACTTGTTACATATATATTACCTTGACCTTATGTATAACTATAAACTATTGTTAAATTTTTGTGATGAATGCGGGAGAGGAGGATTCGATTTTGGGATCTCTTTCGATATTTACAAGACCAAGAGTCAGCTTGATATGTGAAAAAATTTAGTATACCAATTGAGATAACTTTTTCATTCAACATTAAAAAGAGAAATAACGCTAGATTAAGAAGTAGACGGTCATGTGCTACTTGTTACATATATATTAACTTGACCTTATGTATAACTATAAACTATTGTTAAATTTTTGTGATGAATGCAATAAAATTTGATTATGGTTAACCATAATATAACATATGGTACAAAACCAGTGCACTTATAAACATGAGTTAGATTACTTCATCATGGAAGTATGCCATGCCCGTCTCTAAGGTTAGGGTAAATATGACATTTTATATTTCATCGTTTGCTGTATTTTTTATAAACGACAAAACGAAGATATCTGTCAGAATTCATCTGAAGGCTCAGTGAGCGGTGCGGTGGGTGCTTAACCTTGACCACGTGTTAGAAGCCCATGTAAGGCAAAGCACTGGGCCCTCACTACAAACATGTAGGGCCCAGTCTCGCGGCGGGCACGTGCTTGTATTATTGGCGATGCACGAGCTCATATTCAATTGACCATGGAAATTGGGTATTTTAACCGCATAGCTCAAGCTTTGCGCCAATGCGGGCGAGTTCGCGCCGTGAATCACGGGAAATCATTTCACTGCCAATTGATCAAGCTCGGCGTTTCGAATGACGTGTTCCTTGCCAACAATCTGATTTCCATGTACGTTGGATTTCCTTGTTTAGAAGACGCACGGAAAGTGTTCGATGAAATGCCTGACAAGAACGTTGTTACATGGACCACAATGGTCTCTGGTTATACTAATTGTGGGAAACCTGAAAAGGCTGTGAGGCTATATACCCAGATGTTGGAGTCTGATTCAGAGACGCCCAATGGGTTCATGTACTCTACCGTTCTTAAAGCTTGTGGCATGGCGGGTTACATCAGAACGGGTAAATTGATTCATGAGAGGATATCTAGTGATAGGTTGGAGTTTGACACTGTTTTGATGAATGCCCTTTTGGACATGTACGTTAAATGTGGGAGTTTGAGTGATGCTAAGAAAGTTTTTTATGACATGTCGAGTAAAAACACCACTTCGTGGAACACGATCATTTCGGGGTACACTAAGGCTGATTTGATGGATGAGGCAGTGAATTTGTTTCATCAAATGCAAGAGCCAAATGTTGTATCTTGGAACAGCATTATTGCTGGTTTCGCAAACAATGGAAGCCCGCGTGCTTTTGAATTTATGTGTTTAATGCACCGAGAAGGTCTCAGACTCAATGGTTTTACTTTCCCGTGTGCTCTTAAAACCTGCAGTCGCCACGGTTTGCTAGCTTCTGGGAAACAGATTCACTGTTATGCCACAAAGTCAGGTTTTGAGTCTGACTGTTTTACTGTGTCAGCTCTGGTTGATATGTATTCAAATTGCAATGGACTGACTGAAGCCATAAAGCTGTTTGATCAGCACTCAAGGTGCAATGCTTCCATTTCTGATAGTTTGGCACTTTGGAATTCTATGCTTTCAGGATATGTCATTAATGAACACAATAGTGTAGCTTTGGATTTAGTTTCAAAAATCCATTGCTCCGGTGCATGGATGGATTCCTACACTTTCAGTGGTGCTTTAAAGGCTTGCATCAACTTACTCAACTTGAGACTTGGTCGTCAAGTGCATGGCTTGGTTGTCACCACAGGGTATGAGTTATATCATATTGTTGGAAGCATTCTTATAGATCTCTATGCAAGACTGGGGAACATTAAGGATGCATTAGGATTGTTTGACAGGCTTCCGAAAAAAGACACTGTAGCTTGGTCTGGTTTGATCATAGGGTGTGCTACAAAGGGACTAAGCTGGCTAGCCTTTTCACTGTTTCGGGATATGGTGTATTTGGATATTGAAGTAGATCAATTTGTCATTTCGTTTATTCTGAAAGTTTGTTCTAGTTTAACCTCTCTTGGAAGTGGCAAACAGGTTCATGCTTTCTGTGTTAAGAGTGGATATGAATCTGAGGAAGTTGTAGTAACATCCCTGCTTGATATGTACTCAAAATGTGGTGAAATTGAGGATGGGTTAGCTCTGTTTGATTCTTTGGAAGAAAGAGACACTGTATGTTGGACCGGGATAATTGTGGGGTGTGGGCAAAATGGAAGAGCAGAGGAAGCAATTAGATTATTCCATCAGATGATAGAAGCAGGATTGAAGCCAAATGAAATTACATATGTAGGTGTTCTTTCTGCCTGTAGGCATGCTGGACTAGTTGAAGAGGCACGGACCATATTCAATTCAATGAAAATTGAACATGGAGTGGAACCTGGTTTAGAGCATTATTATTGCATGGTTGACATTCTCGGTCAAGCTGGATACTTTAAAGAGGCAGAACAGTTAATTGCTGAGATGCCATTTGAGCCTGACCCAATCATATGGAGAACATTGCTCGGGGCCTGTGGAACTCATAAAAACACTGAACTTGTTAATGTTATTGCTGATCACATTCTCACAACTTTGCCAGAAGACCCTTCCACATATGTGACACTTTCAAATGTTTATGCAGAATTGGGAATGTGGAATGATTTAAGCAAGGTTAGAGCGGCTGTCAAGAAAGTGGGTGCAAAAGAAGCAGGAAGGAGCTGGGTTGAAGTTTCAAGTTAAGAAACACTGCATTTTTAAATTGTATATGGTGCAGAAACTAACTTCCTTTGCATCCATATTTGGACGAACTACGACGCAGATACCATTCTGAAGTTAAGTCCCTACACGAGCTTAATGACCGGATCATTTTATTACTGAAGACCTAACAAGAATCTCCGCAAACAGATGGCCCTTAGTGGCATAGTCCAAAGAGATGTTTTTTTTTTATGTTATGGTATGTCAAACCACTTCCTTTCCTCTGTTTTAATTTTAAACCCACAAATCAATCTGATTTTTTTTTTCCTCTTTCTTGAGGTTGAAATTTGGATCTAGCCAAGCCATGTAAAATTTCCCCTCTTAATAGAAAATGATAGAAGCAGACTAATTTACTTATGTAGTTCAACTGTGCTTTTCATTTTGTGCTTCTGCTGTCACTTGTCTATCATAATTGTTTTGTTTACTTATTGTAGTTTTCCTGTTTAATGCAGGTTTTGATACAGCTAACTGCATCATCTAAATGCACAGTTGCTCAGAAAGATCTCGGTACATAACCCTTATCTCTGGTCTATGCATAACTAATTTCTATTTTGTCATTGCTTCCTTCTTGGCATAAAAGGAAAGATACACATTCCTCATGGTCTTCACCTAATCATAAGTGAAATATTTTTCTGTTATTGGAAGTAAATCATCTTTTCCTTGTATGGCAGAATGGGGGGAAAAAGAGAGAAGCCAATTGAGCTGATCAGTTGTCAATTTTGCCTCTAGTCTTGCATGTGCCAATTGTTATCTTTCTGTCAAATAGCCTTTAACTACAAGTTATTGCTCTTATCCCAAATTCCCAATCCAGGAAGAGGTTAAAAGATAAGATGGTCCTGGAAATCAAACCGGGTAAGCTGGTCCAACCCAAATGAGCTTGACCCGACAGAATTGGAGCAACAAGAGGAACATGGGTGGGCTCCACCAGTTGCAGGCAGTGAGGTCCTCCATCTTCACTGTTGAATGCAGAGAAAACAGGTCTTTGCTTTGTAAGGCCTCCACCGTGCAGAACGGCAGAGAACTCTTTGTCATTGCCCCCCTCCTCCTGACCCTCTCTCTCCTCTTTATAAAGTGAGAGCATGAGTTTCCCTTTCCTCAAGCATGCCTTGGATTATTCTTTCTTTTTCAGTCTTTTTACTGTCATCAATGGCTCATAACATAAAGTTAATGCAGAAAAGCTACACAGATAATTACGTATAATAAAAAATTCATAATTTTCGCGCCTGTCTCTTTTTGGCGCCAAACTTGACCCCTTCCAAGTTCCAAGTGGTAAAGAAACTGGTACCATATGGTAAAATTATTCTGGTGCATTACTAATTACCACCCCATCTGTATATACATCCATTGAAAATGTGCAACATGTCATTTCTAAAATAATTAAAGCTTTTAAAAAAAATTATTCTAAAAGGTGAAATTGAAGTTTTTAATTCTGCTTTAAAAAAAAAAAGTTTATAATCGTCTATAAAAGATAAACGGAAGTATCATCAATTGAAGTGATGATTTGGTATCATACAATAATTTCTCTATGTCTAGTGGTTGGAAAGTAAATAAATTATTATTTTAATTATATATATGTGAAATTATAAATAAATATCAAAAGTAGAGAGATGGGAGAGATCAGGGAAACAAGTTGACTTAAAAAAGGAAGAAATGGGATGAGTACAAAATCGAGCCATACCGTTGCATGCACCATTGTTGTTAGAACCTTCTAATCAAACACCAAGAAAATTCCAAATGATGAGACAATGAGTACAAAAAAAGAGTCAAGAATTAGTAAAACTAGGGCGGGGCCCACAAATCAAGAAGCCATGCGCAACCTTCTATCCTTGTTGCTTTGTTCAGTAAAACCAAGACCAGAAGACATGCAACGAGACAAGATTTGGAAGGTAGCTTCTGCCTTAGCACGAGAATGCATAGAGCAGATTAGTATTTGAATTGAATTCGTGGTGCAATGGTAACATATTCTAAATCTTATTTATTTTTAAGGGTTGTTGAGGCCCAAAACATCTAAGGTTAAATACTTTTTTAGTTATTGGGTTTTATATGGAAATTCAATTTGATGATTGAGAAAAAATTTAGCCAAATTGGTTACTGTGTTTTCCAAAGTTTACAATTTATAGACATTACGGAAGCACCATCAATGTTCTTCCTCTAACTCAATGAGTTAGGGTACATTGTGCTATTAGGGTTTCACAAATTGAGAGAAATCTTGGGTTGAAATTGAAATTGTGAAGTATAAGGAAAATAAAAAAGCCAAATAAAATTAAAATGAAATCAACAACTTTCCAATATATTTTGGTGCTCTATCACCTTGATTACATTTCCCTGCCATCGGAAGTCATAATATGGTTCTCACTCAATCGATTCAAGCTTCAGTGTAGCATCTAATTTGATGTTATACCTCACAATTCCGATTTCAACCCAAGATTTCCCCCAATTCGTTAAATCCTAGTAGCACAATATATCCTAACTCGTAAAAAAATAAAAAAAATAAAAACTGCACTTAAAGGAAGTTAACAAAAGATAATAGAATGTCTATAAATTGTAATTAAACTTAAGGAAACACACAGTGACCAAAAAATTATTTAACCCTATTTTTAATAATTAATGTTGAAAGAGTTCTTGAGTTTAAATATCCAGTTCTCGTCGAGTCTAATATGTAATACCAAAAAAAGATTGTGTTACTTTTGACCTCTCAGTGTGCGAGCACATGAAAAATATGAGAACCTACTTGTATTTATGTTCCTTTCATTTTGTCTGTTTGTTTCCCTTTCGCTTGGCCTTGAAAGCGCAAGTTTATCCATTTCCTTTTGTTTGATGTAAAAGCTGCCTACCCTTCTTTAAGCTCATATCAAACTTTCAAGGCCAAAGAACTTAGGAGGAGCCCTTAATAATGGCCTAATTGGGAATTTGGGGCCATTAGGTTGGACTTGGACATTAAAGCTTGATGATTATTGTATTGTATATCTGACTTGTAGTTTCTCAAGGAATTATTATTTTCTTCTTTCTTCCCTCACAACTTGCATTGCAAGGGGAATGCAAACAGAAATTTAGATTACAGTGAACAAAAAATTTACGTCCTTGGTAGGATTAAGATATACAAATTCCAAAACCCAGTTTGTACTTAATGTCACCTTAGTCATTAATGCACTAACAGTTACACAAAATTTTATGCAAATAATTTATCTAAACCAGCATGACTCCTTTTGTCATTTAGCATCTGTCAGCTGGCACCAAGAACTTTAGGGTTCCTCGTTGACCCAACAAAAATGATCTAAACAATTCCATCAATCTACGTGCATGCACATCCTTCTAAGTTCTAAACTGATAGACTGATCATGGTGGATCACTTCACTCACTCCCTACAGAACACCAAATTTTAGAAAATATTCAAAAGATTATACGGACGAAGAAATTACAGTTATCAGTGTATGCATAAATTTTTCTTACATAAACATTTAAACGAGTCAAATGTAGAATTAAGTCTTAATCATCTTAGCAATATATAACATAAGTGTGGCCAAAAACTCATTAAAAAGTTTAGAAACCTCCATATATGACAACAAAACAAGGCAAAATAGCCTTGGGATTAAACACATATAACTCATCCAAATTAGAGTAAACTCCCACAGCTCCAGCCACAGAGTCATACTCTTCCATACCAATAGGTCCAATACCAATACTATCCTCCATGTTCTTCTTCACCCTCCCTGCAATCACACGACAAACCAGCATTGCCCTCTTGCCACTGTCCTCTGCAGCAACCACAGCCTTGTCATGGGCTCTTCCACTTGTTGCTGTTGTCAAAATGCCGTCTTCGATTAGGTCTCCAGAGAACTTATTGAACCCACTTTTTATTATGCTGCAGATATTGCAATGTGGAATTGAGTTGCAGAGATTGGAGGAGCCGTTTAGGCCTAGTGAGCACACAAATGTGGTGCTGTGGAACCTGAGGAGCTCATTGCCGTCTGCAATGCAGCGAGGGTGTTTCTTTGGGAGCTTGGTGGCTTTGGCTTTGATGGATTCTCTGTACTCTTCAAATTTGGAGATGGTCTTTTGGGTGTTGTGGACTTTGAGGATGCGGTCGATTTTGCATATTGGGGTCTGTTTCTTTAGCCAGCTGGACTGGAATATGATCTCCACTATGTTCTTGCTTGTGTCTTCAGGACCCAGTTCAGAAACTGTGGATTTTGTGACAGAGATTAAAAAAGATTGAAACTTTGAGCATGGTTTTCTGAAATTTATTTAAAAAGACTGAAAATCTGAACATGGTTTTCCGTAAATTGTGTATTGATATTGGTAACATGTTTTGAAATGATGCAGGAAGAGCAATGGTGCTCATGAACTCATTGTAACTAGCTAGTAACAGAAATTAATTGTGCATTGAAGTATGAGAAAGAGAGAGAGAAAGGTTCTGAAACTGAAAGTTTATGGCTTCACAAGTCCTAGCTGATAATACTTATTATAAGCTCAGAGTGTAGAGATAAATTAATTTTTAATGTATCATTTCTGTTATGAATAAAGACATTTAATTATTAAATTGAGCAATAAAGGGTTTTCTCAGATCACATCACATGTGAGCATGATTAAAATTGTTGAGAATTGTGAGAGGTACCTGCATGCCTAACAGCCTGATGAAGCTCCAAGTTCTCAGCTTTCATGAAAATCTCACCACATTCAGGACATGAACAAATGCTGCCTCTCAGAGAAGGGTCTCTAGCAAAACCAAGAACAGGATCAACCACCATTCTGCACTCATAGCAGCCAGAGAATCTCCTGAAAGGCATTGCTCTAAAAGACCCACCACCAACAGAAGAATTATTAGTAGATACTGCAGATAATGAAGAAGAAGAGGTAGAAACAACCCCATTGAGCTCATGCAGAGGAGCTTTCATGGATCTGCTTGAAGTTTCATTACTGTAACTTGAACCCATTGAAGCCCTTTTCTTATGAACTTCAGGAGATCCTATTTCAGGCCTGTGCATGATTTTGGTGTTGTTACACAGTGAGCCAGAGCATCTCATTTTCTTGCTTTTCTTGGCAGCATTACTTTCCTCCATGGCTTGCTCATGCTGTTGTTGTTGTTGCAGAAGCTGCTGTTTGCGCCCTTGTTGTAGCTGAAGTGGCTGGAGTTGTTTACAGGTCAATAAGCCTCTTACAACAGACCAATAGGGTGGCTTCTCTGTCTTTTGGGGCTTCTGGTTCTGGTTTTGGTTCTGTTTCTGAGCCTTTTGGAGTATTTGCTTGGTGGGTTTTCTTTGGGTTTTGAGTTTAGGCGCCATTGTTGTAGCTGAAGTGGCTGGAGTTGTTTACAGGTCAATAAGCCTCTTACAACAGACCAATAGGGTGGCTTCTCTGTCTTTTGGGGCTTCTGGTTCTGGTTTTGGTTCTGTTTCTGAGCCTTTTGGAGTATTTGCTTGGTGGGTTTTCTTTGGGTTTTGAGTTTAGAGGTAGCCATGGCTGAAGAAGACATCTAATTTGTGATGTTTGAGCTGAATAAAATGGTGGGTTATGGTTTTAGTTTCAGAATTGCAGATGGGGTGCTTTCAGAGACATGAGCTGAGACAGACAGCTGGGTGGGGTTGCAAAGGAGCTCCCTTTGGCAGGCTTTTGTAGAAAGCTTAGATTAGGGTTCTGTGGGGCTTTTCTTGTTGTGTGTACAGAAGTTGATTTATAAATAGATAAGTGATTGATCTGTGTAAAGATATTGTTATTTGTTAATGATGGGGGAGTGATGCTTGGATGGCAAGAGAAGACAAAACTATGGGTTGCACATATTTAATATATCTCTTATTACTAGTGAGTCAGTGACAAAAAAGAAACATAGCTTAGGATGAAGATTCAAAACTTAAAATCTTATATGATTAAAAAAAAACCCTTCAAATCTCATACATGATTATCAATTGAAACATATTGGTATTACTACATTACAAAAATAACAAAAAGTGGAAAGAGTTCTACATATTTTTTATGGTAGTTGTGTTTCTTTTACTATTAAGAAATAAAAACCATTCAAACAACATGATCTGTTTTTCAAATGGCATTAGTGTGA